TGTTTGCTTTACCTCCTACTCTTCTCACTGCTTGAATTTCTAGTTTTGTACAATCATTCACTTTCAGTATTTTGCATATTTCTAGAACATTGTGGACTAGCTCATCATAATTCCTTTCGTTTTCATGCACTCCGCAGATTAGAATATTCCTTTGTCTTAGATGCCTGTCAAAAAAGTCTAGTCTATTTTCTTGCATTATAACAGTGTCTTCTAATCTTTGAATTTTTTCTTCAACATGTCGAAACTTTGTATTTATGTTATCGTTTATTCTCTGTTCAGATTCATGAATGCTAATCTTTGTTTCTTTTATGTCCTTTTGTATATTTTCGAGCATAGTTTTAAGTAGTATTGGGTCCATTGTTAACAGTAGGTAATGTTTTTAATCGAGGGTAGACGTGATTTTGTTGCAAGTTCTTTGTTCTAATTTTAGCTGTTTTCCAGTTTAAATAGTAGGATAATCCGGTGATAAATCACTGCAATGCTGTCTTATATTGAAATACTGTCCACTTGTTTATTTTTCGCCATTTACTGGGTTATTTTTTCACTAATTGATACTTGTACTTGTTAGTCTATTTAGCACTGTTTTCTTCGTTTTTACACTTCACTGTAGTCAAATTTATGGGTTGTTATGATATTTATCGATATATAATCACTTTGTGCAGAAAAAGAGGCGTAAAATACAAATATAACTATTTTTTTAGCAAGAAATACGGAAGATCAATCTAGCCTAGCTGGCGTCAGTGTTGCCATTGATACATATACTTTTACATTATCATGACATTCGATAAAGAGGCAAGGTTCATATTTGGACTTTACATAGCCTAATTTTAACAAACATTCTTCTACCCTTGAATACCACTGTCTGGCAGACTGTTTTAAACCATAAATTGCTCTTTTTAATTTTAATACTTTGTTTTCACAATTTACAAATCCTGAATTTTCTGGTATTTCTATAAATACACATTCATTAAGAAAACCGTTAAGGAATGCTGTAGGGACATCCAAGTGGTTCATTTTTAGGTTAAGTTCAACACTCAAAGCAAATAACAGTCTTAGTGTCGAATACTGCATAACTGGTGAAAAAGTCTCGTTAAAGTCCACACCTTTCACTTGGGTAAAACCCTTCGCTACAAGTCTTGCACGATAACGCACTTCACCATCACTGTTATACTTTTTCTTAAAAACCCACTTGTTTTTCACCACCGTACCTTGACTTGGTCTGTCCACTAACTCCCACGTGTCATTATCACTGAAAGATTGAAGTTCCTCCTTCATTGCTTTCTTCCACTCTTCTTTCTCCGGACTGTTCAAAGCATCGTTCACTGACATTGGCTCACTTGACATTTCTTCAACACACATGTTCGAAAACCCAAAATACTCAGGCTTTCGACGAACACGCTTCACTGGCTGATTGTCAATTTTCTGCTGAGAAATGACATCCACATCTTCTGTTGACAAGGATTCATAAAAAGTACTTTCAGAATCACTTGATGGTTCATCTGCAACATATGTTATGTCATCATCTTTCTCTTTCTGCTGAGTTTTCAGTAAATCCTGTGCTACACTTTCTTCTGACACCTCCTTCTCTGGCTCTGGAACTGGCTGCTCCTCTTCTACTGTGATATTCATTGTAGAGCTGTCATTCTGGATATCTTCCATGACTACAATGTCTCTGGCCACAGTCACTGCTCGGTTCTCTGGATTATACAACCGATAACCTTTAGTATTATCTGCATATCCCACCAAGTACATCTTCTGAGCTTTCTTGTCCCACTTTCTACGCCTTTCTTTTGGAATGTGGACCATAACTGGACTACCAAACACTCGCAAATGTCCTAGGTTTGGTTTACTGCCTGACCACACTTCATACGGAGTAATATTCTTGTCAAGTCCGGCTACTGGTGATCGGTTTTTCAGATACACCGCTGTGTTTACAGCTTCTGCCCATAACTGTTTATCAAACTGAGCATCAAACAGGAGACAGCGTGCTTTTTCTACTATGGACCTGTTGTATCGCTCTGACAGCCCATTTTGTTCAGGCGTGTAAGCGTTACTCTTCTGATGAACTATACCATGCTGCTTCAAGTAGTTCTCCATTTCTGTAGAACAGAACTCGCCGCCGTTATCAGATCTTAATGCTTTTATTTTGGTAGACTGCTGGTTCTCTACCAACTCTTTGAATTCTTTGAAATACTTGAAAGTTTCATCTTTACTTTTCAGAAAGTACACAAAGCACATACGGCTATAGTCGTCCACAAATAACAGGTAATATCTAGCCATACCTAGTGATTTGTTCTCCATAGGTCCGCAGAGATCAGTGTGAACCAATTCCAGTACACTTTTTGTTTTGGTAGAACTGGATGGAAAAGGCAGCCTGGTCTGCTTGCCCTCACAACATACTACACAGCTTGATTTGCTTGTATCACACTTCTCTGGGTATGTCACGCCTTCAACTGCTCCTTGTTTCATCTTTTCAAGGTCATTTGAGTTGATATGACCTAATCGCCTATGCCAAGTTGTACACGAAGTCTGTACTGCCGCTGCTAAGACTTGCTGAGATTTCACAACATTTAATCTGTACACACCATTTTCTAATACAGTTTCACCAATCCACTCATTCTGAGCGTTGAAAATGTTAACTCCTTCCTTATGAAAGTCTACCCAGTTACCACTTTCATACAATCTGCTCACTGATAACAAGTTTGTGGTGAGGTTAGGTACGCACAAAACATTGTTTACTTCTATCTCATACTCTGTATCCTGCACACGCGTAGTAATGTGCGTGTCCCCAGAGCATTGCACGTGTATACTTGCCTGGTTTGCCACTATAATTTCCTTAGTTATCGTATCGTACGAAACGTTTGTCAACACTTTTTCGCTTGTAACAAGATGTGTACTGGCGCCGGAATCAACATACCAGTTATCTTTTCCAAAGTCTCTGGTAAGAAATACTGCACTAAAGGCGTTCTGCTTCTTCGGTTTATTATCCGTAGAACTCGTGCCACACTGGTTAATGTAATGTCCGAGCTGTTTGCATCTATAACAACGAATTTCCTTTTTATTCGATGTTTTTTGGTTACTATGGCCATTGTTGACATTTCTACCACTGACAGATTGCGTTCCGATATTGCTATGCGACCTGTGCGATTTGCCGCGTTTTTGAGCAAAAAATGCATTTCCAGCATTACCCTCATATTCGGAACTCATGTCCAGTAATTTCGTTTTTATCCCATCAGCACTAATTGTAATACCCGAATGCTCGATTGCCATTATCATAGGGCTAAACTTTTCAGGTAGACCTGCGAGCAAAAGCGAGCCGATCCATTCGTCATTGATCTCGAAACCGGTGCCTTTTAACTTCTGGGCGGTTTCTACAAGCTGGTTTACGTAACTGGTCATGGAGTCACTGGTCTCTAAACGTATTGATATCAAGCTTCTTAGCAGGCTTATCTTGCGTGTGAAGCCCGTGTCATCAAACAGAGATTTCAACTTTTTCCATACGTCCAGCACTTTTGCCTCATTCTTGATATGAATATACAGCGACGGATCTATAGTCATGATCAATTTCGCCTTGGCCTTCTTTATTTTTTTTTTTTTATTTTTTTATTTTTTTTATTTTTTTTGGCAACAAACAGTCATGTACATAGTTGTTTATACGTTATCTTATTCTAATAAAGACCTTGAGTGCCGACAATTTTTTCTTGTCTTCTGCATCAGCTAGAACGACAGTTGCATCATCTAGGCTGACACCTTCCAAAACCATGTAATGCTCGACGGCAAACGCCCAATCGTCGAAATTTTCTCGCCCCTTGAGCTTGGGCACATTCACTGAATAATTTGACGACATATTTAGCACTGGGTCCGTTTTAAAACTGATTATTTTCATATATCACTGTTTATTTTATTGTTTTTAGCACTGATTACTGAGAAATTACTACGATAACTAACTGAAAACTATTTAAATATGGGACTGGGCCCATAACCTAATAAAACTCAAGAGTGACTTGGCAACAACTAAACGTATATTTCATAGTTCCACATAGAGGACAACAGGTGGCGCTAGCAGTATCACAGTTACATTATATTGTTACTTATAAATAAAGACATTTCAACATGGGATGCGGTCGGGTTTTTCTACAAGACCGCAGCGTCGTTGCCGCGACGCTTGGTTTATAAGCCTACCATAATAGAAAACCGAGTGACTTAGTGGAGAGCTGAGTCGTGTGTTATTAAAAATGTAAACCTACAGTTTTAAATTACACATATATTTGATCTTTTTGATGTAATGTATGATGAAAATTGCCTCATATTTTATGTTCTCAAATTCTGAGCACATAAAGAAACTAGAAGAGAAGTTATTATAAATGTTATAAACAAGGTACTGCGGTATTGCCATGTTGATTTACATGACCTTCCCACTTAAAAATATGAGTATCTACCATATTAGGTACTATCATCGGGTCGTTGAACGACTCGGTGCCGTGTCCGTCACGAAGAGAGAGAGATCATCCATCACATCACAAGCTACTCTTCGTCACTTCGTTAATGTGCGCAACACACAACGCTGCGTTGACTGATGCGTCTGTCATACCGTGTGAAATAAATCGTATTTGTATGGAAGTAAGGTAGAAATTTGTATTGCCTTAGATGTATGTATTACGCAGCGGGAAAATAACGCAGCAATGGACGTTACATTACATACGTGTTTTTCTCGCCTAAGATACTTGGATTATAATATTGTCATTGGTAATGCCACTTCCAGTGGTTCTATCTTGCTCGTTTCAACAATTTGCTTCATCACTTGGAATAATGGGCGCGGACAGGCTTTCAGACCGCCCTCAGCGAGCGTGTGCGAATTGTACAAACTTATTCACATTTTTGCACACTCTATATTTTTCGAGTAAAAACGTAATAAAAAACTTATCATATTAAAGTTGGTTACATAGTATTGGAGTAACTTTCATTCTCACAAGTGAAAATAAGAAATAGAAAAAATGTCATACATCGACCGCGAATCGAACCCGGGCCGCATGGGTAAACGCCCCACCGCTCTGCCACTGAGCTATCGATGCACCGGTTGATGGATGCCAAATTTTCTATCTCTTGATGCTCGTCTCCAAGCGACGATCCAACGACATCTGTAGAAAGTATTTAGAACTTACTACATGGTCATGGTCAGTCCACATTATGAGTGAAGTCCACATTATGAGTTTACCCATGCGGCCCGGGTTCGATTCCCGGTCGATGTATGACATTTTTTCTATTTCTTATTTTCACTTATGAGAATAATGAGTGCATTACAATCCCAATAAACTTTCATTCTCTTTTATTGGCGTTGCCCTTCCTGTTTTCCCTATCTCTTCTTTCTTTGATTAGTAGACACCTATCTTATCAATCAATTAAACAGACTGCTTCTAAACTACTTGTAGGTACATTTGTAATTGCTTTAGGTATGTGATATATGATTTTTTTTCTTTAAGATAGAAATGGAAATAGACAGATAGAGTTATTGTTAATGGAAGCCTATAAATTGAATTTGTTCGTAGACTTGTCGAATAAAATGTGAAATATTGAATTGGATCCTTCTTTCATTTCATTTCAGTTTCTTTCATTTGTTACCCGGTAAATCACATGGAGTAACTAAAAAGATATAACAAGCCAATAGGAGATCAAGGTGGTCATTAAATTGAACAACTTTTGCCCATGGAACATAGGTCAAAATATGTACAAAATATTTGGACCTCCCTTAAAAAATCGCCGATCAGCTGATTGATTTACTTCTTTGTTAGCACAACATCGACATCAACAGATATACACAGTCCACTGCTGGGCATGGACAGCTCCTTAAAGGAAACTTTAATTTAAAAAAAATAGAATCTACTCTTTACGCAAATTTTACCTTTACTTTAGTGCTATTAAAGAACAGGTAAAGCCACTTCCTTACCCAAAGTTTCCTTTCTTCAAAGAAATATCGTTAAAATCTGATAACAATTTCTTCACGCACTATTAGTCCCTAGTGAAACACCTGTGTCGGAGTAGAGTAACCTTAATGTAACATAATATTATTCCTTCAACAGTTGCCATATGCCAGACTGAAATACTTGGTAAAGTGCTGTGGTTTGGCAGAATTAGGCAGATTATGAGTAAAAACTACCAGCGTTGCAATTGAACAACAGTGATTAGTTTTTATCTAGTCAATCAAACTCAGTCCACTGTTGAATGTGACATAAAGTTTTAATTGTTTTTTTTGTGAGGCGTGTCTGAGAGTCATCATAATCATCTCCCTGCCCTTATCCCAAATCAGTTGTGGCGCAACATGTTTTGTTAGAACAGCTAAAGGTTTTATGCATATCTGTCTGAGAGTATTTGTGCATATTTGAGATAGCCATGGCCACCCTATCAGGAACAACTTGCAACCTAACTTTCGTCTAGTCTTTACTTTGTAACTAAAGTGTAGTTTAGTTAGATCAGCATGGTAGGAAAGCGTTAGAACGTCTTTAGTTTAACAAAGTAGCTAACAGTGGTTCGAGTTACCCGTTATGTACTCATAACTGATATTGAATTTGTGATAAACTGTGCATAGGTATAGTGATGCCAGTTGCTTAAAACAGCATCACCACAGTCACTGCATCTTGTTTTGAATCAGATAGAGAAACGCAAAAAGCGTATTTTTTATACTACTTGTATTGATGTTATGTTTAATGAAATCATCTGCTACGTCGTAGCATTCCGTAGCTGCATCTCTACGAAATCATATGAAGTCGGATATGAAAACAAAACGAACGCTGGTTCACTTATTTGCAAATATTTGAGTACCACAAGACACTCTAAACAGGCTCTGTCTAGCTCAAACTGGTTACAACCAGACAGAACAGGCAGAAACGAGTCAGAAAATGCCCGAACATGTCAGCACAAGTGACGTTGACGTCGACATACATTGCAAGAGCTTGTTCAGGCTTGTTCAAACAAGACAAGACCACAGGTGGAGTGGTTCCGAGAATATGTTTTATTTCGTTTTGTATCTTTTATTCGCGTTTGCTCGTATATTTGTCAGTGTATTCGTTTCGAAAAGTACACCTGTGTTGTACAAGTAAGTAGTTTAGTCGCGGAATTTTGACTAATTTTGAAGAAATAATTTCGCGCAGACCGAAATAAGGGGGGCCCGCGCGCCATCTCCCTAATTTGTGCTGGATATCGTTATGCAAACATAAAAAGACTTCGTCTAGCTAGGCACACCTCAAGTTACTGTTCCACTTGGTTTTCTGAATAGTCAGGATATCTGAATTGGACTGTATTTTTCTTTGTGCGGGCGTCCGGACAGACTTGACTGCTCCCACGGGACCGATCAATGGACGGGCGGAATTCAGTAGAGAACCATGTAGGTACCTATTCGTAAGAACGCCGACATAGAACGCTCTTTGGTCAATAAATCAGCAAATGTTAGCATTATTGAACATTGTAATTTGCCGTGTGGTAGGGGCTAAGAATACTGCCATCCCTAGTCCACTCGCAGGGTGCTTTGTAAAAGGCGCGACGTAGAGGTTTTGATCTCAGCTGAATATCTGCGACTACGGTCAACCACACGGTGGCGGTGATATCACCTACAATAGCATTAACAAATAGACGTCAACCACGTCAGGCAGGTGGACGGTCATAAATATATATTAATGTAGCCAAATACTTTTGCTACACGATTTTATGTTCTAACAAAACATCTTGCGCCGACCCGAACTGTTACTGGCCACTGAGGCGGGGGTGTAGACATTCTTTATATAAGGTCCTATTAAATTCACTGCAAATATTTTAAGGGCATGCGTAAATATGTATAAGAAAAACACCTAAGGCATTTAAAAAAATCTACACGCTAGATATTTTTTTTCATTTTCAAACAAACTTTTTAATTAATTATTTGAACACCCTTTGACTGACGCGCGCGACTGACATTCCGCCATGTAAACATGATTCACTTACACGGCACGCACACTAACAACCAACCAATCACAGCACGGCGCGTTTGGCGCGTAGCAATGTGCCGTTCCCAGTAACATTGGTATTATACCCAGTAACTTTCCCGGGCACGAGTAATATTCCCCGGTAACATAGAAACTTTGAAAAAATGCATTGATATTACAAAATTTTAAAATGTGTCTTTATAAAATCACTAAATTTAGAGTTTTAAGTAACTTTACATACAAATACTTGAATAATATTACTGGGGGTAGTAAATTCCCAATATTTCCGGGAATATTCCCCTCAATGTTACTAGTAACATTGCCAAATCTAAAGTTACTCATAGTTTCTAGCAGGATTTTCCAGAGTTTTAGAGAGAGGCGTGTCTAATCTTATACTTTTAATAATCTTATACCTTTAAACAAGCTAGAATTGGATTTCAGAAACAAAATAAATAATCACAATAAAATCTTAAACCAAAAGAATCCATAATTCATAAAAAAGAATCCATTATTGTTATTATTATGAGCTTGTGCTGTCCTGCTGCAGGACAAAGGCTTAGCTCCGCTTTTTCCACGCCTTTCGATCTAGTGCCAGGTTCCGCCAGTCTTGTAGATATACATTAAGTTCATCGGTTCACCTTTTTCGAGGCTGTCCACGTCGCCTCTGCATATTGTTGGGTTAACCCATTATATTAGCATAGGTTGTAATTTTAGCCCATAAAGCATTTTGCATTCAGGTAACGTGGCCCTGGCCAGCTCAATCCCACTTATGCAATCAGCCTTTTGAGCTACATCCATGTTTTATTTTTGGGAACTTAGCACCGAGTTCCGAATCGTTCGTTCAGTTTGACTCCAAGTATGCTGCGTTTCATTCTACGTTACAAACCCCATGCTTGGACTTCTGAATGTCCAATACAGATCACGTATGAGCTCTGTAGGTAAGGATGGGGAGAATGCACATGTTCATAAGCTTGCGTTTCAAAGAAAAAGTCACCTTTCATGAGGTCTTTTATAGACCAATAGCTTTTCAGGCGTTCTCAGACCGTCTATTTATTTTATTTAACCATTTATTGTACACAAGAAACATAATAGAACAAAACATAAAGAAAATAGACACAACAGGCACTGCTTATCTCTAAAAAAAGAAATTTCTTACAGCAGACCTAACGGAGAGAAATGGTATTTGGCGAAAGGCGGATGAGACGTGCACAATATCTATGAATAATAATACGATAACCAGATACGGATTAAATTGGACCGTCTTTCGATTTCTTTATTTTGTCTCGCCTGAAACAAGATTATTTGGCCTAAGTACCTACTAGACTTGGACATTTGCTATTTTCTCCCCATCCACTTCCACAATTTGCTCAGTGCGATTTGTCATGAATGACCTTAGTCTTTGAAATGTTCATCTTCAGTCCAACCACGAGGCTTGCCTAAGTAGTTGCTAGTTATTATTCTGTGCCTAAGATTGTAAGAAAGAAAGAAGAAGAAGAAGATTGTATTGCTTGTAGCATTTTTTGTAGCTCAGAGGCCGCTGAGGAAAACAGGATGATACCTTCTTCTTCATCATCAAAAACTGCAAAATCAGCAGTCGCTGCGGGTGTTCTAATTGTTCTCGCTAGCTGTGAGGCAGTGCTGCAGGCTGCGGTGCTTACATACGTGGCATTCCACAGCAAACACTTGCTTTTTTTTCAATGGCACCAGTCATGCCATCAGGTCTTTTCCGTCCGAGGTCCAGTAAACAGGAATATTGGCTGTTAATAGAGCTCTCTGGACAAAAACGTTCAAAGCGTGATGACGTGGTGACCTCCCTGAGCAGTTACAGCAGCTCAAGGCGTGGTGGCCGTTGCTCTCAAACATGGAGCCATAGATGCATTGATGGCGTCCACAAACATCGCAGCCCAGGCGTAGAGAAACTGGCACGCGCAGTGAACTGTCATCGAGAAGGGTACCCAAATGGGGGAAGGCAGTGCATGCAGCCATGCTCCTGACTAAGGTTGACACACTGCCTTCTCAGAAACGTTGGCTGTTCAGGTCATCTGGAGTGGAAGCGGAATGGCTTAGAGCTAACCACGCCGCCAAAGTTTTGCGGTTGGTTTACAATTTTTCTTCTGGGA